TGGCGATTTCGTAATGAATCCAAAAGAAGCGGAACTCGCTGCCACTCGAGGGCACATTTTCAGTTTTTCAATTGATATTTAATGGCAAAAACCATGAAATGTTGCATCCCTCTGAAACTGGAAAAAAATGCAGACAAATTTTCTAAAATCTCAAAATCTGTCAAGTTACTCTTCTTTTGGGTTTATTACAAAACCGCCAAACTCGAAAAATATATTTTACAAAAATATCAGTGAAATCAAACCGAAGAATTTTATAGAGGAGCAATAAAAACAAATGTACTCAGAAAAAGTCATAGAAGCAAGTGATATCAATCCTACTGCTCTTCGATGCTCCTTTTCCGAATGATACTACCAGTCTTGATACTTTTTGATTAGATATAATATTATAAACAAAAAATATTTAATGCATGTTTATTTTATCAAAATGTGACATATATTTTATATTGTAGACAAAACAATACTTTTAACCGAAATCCGCTCAGAATCGTCTTTCGTTAGCAACGGTTAATGTTTGCGTACAGATTGATCTCCCCCACGATCTTTCCAATTTCTCACCTGCAACAGTGGCCCGCCCACGTGCAAAGTATGTCCGTTTTTTTTTTTTTTCTAGATAATATTGCAATTTTAATGAGTATACCTGTTATTTACTCGTTATTGCACTAAAATATATTCATAATAAAATTAAAATAATATACAGTGGAACCTCGATAACTCGAATCGCCACAGTCCGGGACGAAAAAAAAAAAATCGAATTATTGAAAATATTTTTTTATGCGAAAAAAAGACTTTATTTTATAATTGTATTTATTTATTCCGTGTATACGTATATTATATAATGTTTGAATTTATGTATTATAAATATATTAAATATTTCCTTCTGTCTTTAATATCCTTATATGCATTAAGTAAACATTGATAAAGTTAATAGGTTTTCGATTAGGGTTATCGTTATTTATGTACACTTTTTTTTGTACGTATATATTTACACGTTATCGTTATAAATAACCGTCCGTACACTCATGCAAATCCGTTTATTAATATCAACAATTTTCGGTAATGCATGACGAATAATCGGAGTTATAAGCCCGAAATTCAACTCAAATGACTTCGAATATCAAGAAATTCAAGTTAGCGAAACTCGAATTACCGAGAAAATCCATCCCGCAGATTGCATATTGAAATGCGGGGGCAAGGCATTCCTTCGAGTTATCTAAAATTCGACTAACAGAGGTTCGAGTTACCGAAGTTTCACTGTATATTAATTGATTTCGTCTAAATATATTAGTATCTCGTCGTTGTAATATTATTATGTACATTATTATTATACATTTAGCGTCGTTTATTATTTTTTGTCCCGTACATTTTTGCGCACTAGCGCTATTTTGTTATCGAGTCAAATTTATATTGATTAGAAATTTGAGTGTGTGTGTGTGTGTGTGTGTGTGTGTGCATAGACACCAGAGCGCACAATAATAATAATTCTTCCTACGAGACTCAAGTTTCGAAAATTTGCATTATTTATTCGTTAATTTATTAATTTATCGATTTACTCGTGTGTGTATATATAGAGTGTAACAGGAATATTTACCATGTTTACATTGTAGTTATATGTAAAAATATCAAATGGTCCAGTTGCACCCTGTCTACACGAGTATATAATAATACAGCGTGCGTCTACACGATTTGACAATTTCCTATACGTAATTGCATATAGGTAATTATCAAATCCCGCAGATATGCTCTGTATGCGTATAGTTATAATTTGTTTTCAATAATTATCAATCGTGTTCCGTTTTTTTTTTTTTTTTGTTCTTGTTTACTACCGTTTGTACAAACAATTTTATCACTATGGAGCAGAAAAAAAAAAATCGTAAAATGTTCACGATGTTCGGTTAAAATCGTATTATAAACTTAATGTCTGATACCGAATATAACCATCACGCGTCGGCGGGATTTTTAAACGTTTATTGTTTTATAGATGACCAGATTACATAGTATTTGTACGGTTTTCGTGTGAAAAATGATATACACAATAACAAATTATAAACATATGAACACACCTAGTCGGATTTTTATAAATTTCGTTTTGTACATCGATTTTATAGGCGATTTTGTGAAGAATTTAATGCGGTAATACGCTTTAACATTAATATTTGCCGTAAGAAATGTGACACATACCTGTCAATAATATTTAACATTGTTATAAACGCGATAATTCACGTTTATCTAAGAATATTATGATTGTTCATATCGCAATTTGTTACATAAAATGTGAGGAAAATGATAAGTCATATTCCGTACGTGCTCGAGTTAATAAGTCCTTTAATATAATATGCGTATAATTATAATGACACTCAAGGAACTAGTTAAAATTAGTCATAATAACCGATTGTAATTGTAACCAAAATAATAAAATACAATGTAAAAAATCTGATTACGTATAATATGTAAACGTATTCGTATGAACATATTATTTTTGTACTACAATCAATGTGTCATATTTTTATTACTAAATCGTGAGTTCAATAGATACAGAAAAAAATTTAAATAAAAAAAGTCGTTTTATTATTTTAAAATTAAATTGAAAAAAAATCTGTTATTTCAGTTTGTATACTAATCACGTAGTATTTTTTTCAATTTTTTTAAAATTTGATTTTAAACTATTATATTATTCAGAACCATATGGTTTGACTAAATGTTTACTGCATTGAACACTGAACTGATTGAGAAACCGTCATAGGGAGTATATCATCTTATTGGCTTTATATTTTATCACTATTTCTAATAGTGTCTAATAATGTCTTCCTCTAGTTCTTCGGGTTGGTAATTCCATAAAGAAATAATTTCTTGATCGCTTAATGGCGCTGAAATTAGCAAATCATTGACAAATTTATTTCTTCTCGTTGTTCTTCTTGGATTGCTTGATGTTGAGTAGAATTATTTAAACCAGAGTGACGGAAACAGTTTTGAACTGTATTCTCTGATACTTAATCCGAAGCTTGAAAAAAACATTAATATTCCATATAATACGTTGATATTTGTTTAAATTTTATTTTCTATATCATTTTTTACATTAAAGATTTTCAAAAATAAGTTTTCATACATATTATTACTATTGGACTCAGTGCAATTACTGGGTAAAAATATACGATAATAATGCGTAATTCAACTTTGGAATGTACATGCCATGTGTTAGAAATTGTAAAGTGACCTACGCCCGATTCATTAGCTAAGCAAGCATTTATTAACCTTTTTTTAAACGAAAAATAACATTTTTATTTTCTTCAATTGTTAATTGCTTTCATTCGCTTATTTTAGTACAATAATTCAACGCACCAATTATACACAGAATACAGTTAATCACACGACGATTATCATTACGACGACATGAACTTCAGCACGCGGGCGATAAAATTATGAAACAATAATGAATTTAGCGATTGTTATATTACCTTTGATAAAACTTTAAGACAGCTGTTATTGATAACAGATTTTTCCAATGTAACCAAAAACAATCGTCATAGTACCATCCGTATAGTTACTAAACAGACGTCATAATAATCGATGCAAAATAGTACGTACAATTTATACAGGACTTTTACCGGAACCTTTAATCTTAGGTAATAATAATTCACGCCGTGGGTGAGATGCTGTTATAAAAGGCGAGCAGTTTTGATGGAACATGATGTAAGGTTATACAATTATAATCGAATTAAATTAGTTAAGAATTTAGTTCAGCACAAGACAAGCATCACGCACTGAAAATTATTGCAGTCGGAAAACGATTCTGAGAAAAGAAGATCGGTAAACTGAACGATTTACAGCTTTGAATCTAAAATAAAAATCACACGTCATAGTAAAATAAATTTAGTTCTCGCTATGTGTATAGCATAAAAAAACCTTGATGTTCGGATAGTTGTGCCTAATGATGATAATAATAATAATGAGAATACAACGTAAAAAAAAAAAAAAACTATTAGTATTTTATAACACGCTGATCAAACGTTTTTTGCGGGTTCGTCCCGAAACTAAACCGTCGTATTTATATACCTAACTAAATACAATGTATTACACATTGCTACGATATACACATGATGTATGAAGACAGGTAAAATTTAAGAACGTCAAAAACGCATGAACAACATATTATTATGTATATTGAGTATACGCCACGGGTATATTCGAAACACTTCACATCCATGTACCTACGTTATACGGTTTTTGGTAGTCATATGTCCTTCGTCAAACGCACTAAGTTGTTTTATTTTCTATTTATATAGACTACCCGCCAACGGATGGATGGTAGAATATTTGGCTGAAAGCGCATTATTATCACAAATAGCCGACTTGATGTTATTATTGACTATTAGTTTGCTTTGATCGATTTAATCAAATTAAAATTTGAACAATAAACGTTTGTTGCTCACCAATTTAAGGTGATTAAATAATTAGGAGGTTTAATTATGCCGGGTAAATTATTCAATAAAACATCAGAAAACAAATCAATACCACTAGTAGAAATGTTTACTAATACATTATTCAGTCACGTCGTCAATCTATCGTTTCAGTTATAGAAACCGTTGGCCGAACCGACCGAATTATTACCAATGTTAATAAAGTTAGATTGCTCAGATGGCATAATTGGGTTTTATCATGGCCATGATACCGTCATTAAAATTATCATCAGATTCTATAATTTCCGTTGTCGTAGAATTCGGGGATTACTTTTTTTTTTTTTTTTTTTTTTAAAAACTCATAGAAACTTAAATCTTCGAAAGAAAATATTACCACTACATTACGTTTATGTTTGCGGGTATTATAATAACAAATATTTAAGTAAATTCAGAAACCGTGTACTAACCGGAATATACAGTTTAACATGTAAATATATACGTTATTATACGTATATATATATATATGGTAATCGTATATTTAAACACAAAACTGTTTACAACGCCGAACCGTTAGAGTAAGCGTTGAGTAACAACAAAGAGACGAAATAATGAAATTATCATATGTTTTATATTTTATATATATATATATATATATAAAAAAAATAACAAGTAAACTTAAACGTGAATGTACAACGGCTCGTTGCAATTCGTTATTTTTAGTGAATTATACTCCGTGATGTTTTTAAAGCAAAACGCACTGTTTGTTATCGCGTCTGGTCGCCTTCACTGCGGCTACAAACACGTCGTGAACTCCCTCTTTGGTCTTTGCCGAACATTCTAAAAACGCGAAAGCTCCGATTTCATTAGCCACTAGCTGTCCTTGTTCTTTGACCACCATTGGTTCCGCCCCTGTAGTTCCACTCCATTTCTTAGGTGTGGTCGAAGCGGTTTTATTGTCGTTTTCTATTACCGGTTGGGTTTCGCCAGCCTTGTCAACGAGCGGTGATGTTTCCGAACATATTTCGTCGGTTTCATCCGTAACAACGACCGTGCAGTCTTCGTTCTCCCGACGAGCATTTGCTACCTCAGTGTCGTCTACACCAGCATCGCCCGGCAGTGACATTACGCACTGGTCACGGAGGTCCTTTTTGTTGCCGACCAATATCACCGGCACGTCCTTGGTGAAAAATCGGACTTCTTGTATCCATTTTTCGACCACGTTGATTAACGAATCGGGCCGGTCGATTGAATAGCATATGATCACCACGTCCGAATTCGGATACGATAGTGGCCGCAGTCTATCGTAATCTTCTTGGCCGGCCGTGTCCCACAGGGCGAGTTTTACCATTTTCCCTTCTATTTTGATCTCCGTTGAAAAATTGTCGAACACCGTCGGCACGTACACCGACGGATACACGTTCTCGAAAAACACGTGCAAAAGGCACGTTTTGCCGCTTGCGCCGTCGCCGACTATCACGATTTTCTTCTCGATCATTTCCTGCGAGACAAAAACGGATGATATCATCGTCAGTTTAAGATGTGCACAGATTATTTCCGCGTATTTAAAAGGAAAACTCGATATTTATAACGTATGATGTGATAACTCGGGGACTTCTAATCAAAAAAAAAAAACAGGTTTTGAAACTTTTTAAATTATTTTATAAGATTATAACCTATAAACTTTAACAATTACTCCGGAGGGAAGACCCTGCGGCAGCAGAAGGAGGATACCAATGTAGTTTTAATTGTTTTAGTTTTATGACTATTATTCTAATTTTATGCTCGAACATTATAAATATACATATTATATACAGTATCCACTTATACTTTTTTTTCAGCATAAAAATTAAAGCATACAATAGTTTTCGGCTACTATCAAAACTTTTTGCTTATACCTATTGTGCGTACATACAAATAATATATTATCTTAATAAAAGCTCAGAAATATACATTGTATTGTATTCTAAAAGACTTTTCCGACTCTTAAAAGCATAATATGTTATTTGTTAAGTTGTACACTTAAAATTAATCTGAATGTTATGTAAATTTCTTGAATGTTGAATTTTTAATTTTTTTTTTTTTTTCTATTCATTCAATATCAAGTTATTCGAGTTAATTATGATCCCGTATAGCAGAAGTAATATATTTGAAGGGCTTAGTCACACATATAAGAAGGTTTATGGAAAAATAAACAATTGACAATTGAAATAAAATGATCAGGAATCATTTTATTTCATATTGCCTCTATTACATTTAATTGAATAATTTTTATATGAGGCAATTATAAATATTGAATTAAAAATTAAAAAATACACGTTCGGTATCATTCTATGTGAAATATTGTTTTTTAAAGAATCGTTAATTGATTTTAAGCTCAGAAATGAAGAAACAAAAATAAAATACGACTAATATTCAATTTTCTCAATAAATATTGCATTATATATTTAAAATTACCTCACTTCACTCTATTTATAATGTATATAGGAAAGGAAAAGCTTGATTTATTGATTAAAAATTAGTTCTTTATATCCTGGTTTTAAATTCACATTGTCGTATTGGATAAAGAAAAAAGAACTTTACGATTATTTGTTACATCCTTTGCCATTGAGAATTTTCTGGGTACGTAATTGTATATTATGATATTTTATGTCAGTATGGTGTTATGTTTATGCTTTTTTTTTTTATGTATACACAAATTGATTGGCAAAAAATTCGGAACTTAATCTCGGTTATTCTGTAGTATTAAACGGATTAAAATCGAAATTTAGATTTTTATATAATATGAAAAAATTGTATTAGGGGATACGTGAAATGCCATACTTAGTTTATTTTAAACTAGTTCTTACTGGTTTTCTTTAGTTAGTAAATTATTTGAAAAGTACTCCAATTATTTCAATTATCCATCTGTCATAGAAACCACCAAGACTTATTTAAATGTATTCAAATATACTCAACACCACAATGCGTGGTGGTGGTAAATATATGTTTGCTTAACATTTAAAACTGAGTGTGACAGTATCTTTACTATTCGGTTCATTATTATTATTATTATTATTTTGTTCAAAAAGTATCACGAAAACAAAATATAACCAAAGACAAGACAGAGGTATTTTAAAATTTAGCAAGGGTTCATTTTTATTTAAATAAAACAAAATGGTTACAAAAATTACCGAAAAATAATTAAATCAAATAATTTTACTGAACAATTAAACACTAAAATTTCTATAAAGGATTTATTTAAAACTTGTTAGATATTCAATTTTAACAAAAATTTGTGTATTCAATTTATTTTGATCTTAGGTGTAATGATCTGATAAGGACTTAGAGTTTTAAATTTGTTAATCTTTAGTCATCTTACTAAATTCGCTATGTACACCGCACCGCACTGAAACTCGTATAAATGTTATTTTTTTCTTATACTGAAGTTTTGTAATCTAAAAGTATTTGTTTAAACCATCGTGGTGTAATAACTGTGCAGGACTATTAACTTTTCTTCACTTATGGTCTGAAATAGATCACACGTAACTGCACTGCAGTCCTCGTATGCCGTCCCCATTATTTATTCAAATTCATTACTTTCGCAGCACGATATTTGACAGAATGAAAACTACCGGATTAATATAAAGAGAAAAGTATTAGAGTGCACGAAATAAACTATTTAAACAAAATACCTATTACATCATCTGAAAAGAAGAGAATTTCGAAATTTATTTAGGTTTTTTAAAATACGCATTTTATGAAATACGAGCGCATAATATATATATACATAATAGGGTTTTCACCCGGCGCCATTTCCTATGTCAATTTAATTCCCACCACCAACTCCCTTTATTTATTCCGTTTAAAGTAGAATTTAAAAATAAAATCCTTTAAATCAATAAAAGAAATTCAATTATACGTGCCTTATTTTCGTGTCTCCATTTTTATTTCGTTCCTGTGAACAAAAAAATAACCCAAAAATCAAAAAACAAAAAAAACAAAAATTACCACTTTGCAATACAAAAGTCATGTGCAAACCTTAGAATTTTGGGAATCCGTCATCGAGATGTACACGAATTTGTCCATCTAATTCATGTATGACGATTTACATATCTCTGCGTGTGATAAATTCGGTGATTGTGGATCTCACGATTGCACGTAAACACTTACTTTTAGATTCTGAGTGTTACAAAAAATGTATTGGTTTTATAAAGATGTTTCTAATTTTTTTCTTGTTTTACACTTTATTAAAAAATTCTACCATAAATCTTGCTGCGACGAATGAAGTATAATACCTTTATTGAAAGAAATTTTCCCGAGGTGGTACTTTAAAAAGGTAGTATTCTGATTTTTCCAGTAGTTTTCCCAATAAATGGAAAAATATGGTGAAAATCGGTCTAGAAACTTTAGAAAAATTGATACGTAAGGTACAAAGTAATAATCACGGGGTTAGGATTGGCAAAGTCACACTAGACATTTTAGTTTTTGCGGGCGATTTAAAGTTACTTGAAAAAGATCGGTCTGGTAATGAATGAAGAAAAGACAAAAGTAAATAGCGATTTAAGCACTGAAATATAAGTAGTCGCATCAATAAAGGTGAAAGGACATATATTACAAAAGTACGTATCTGTATACGGCAGTAGTAAGGCTGATAATTACTTATGGATGTTCCTTACCTTCAGAAACAAAGTGTTTAGAATATTATGTGGATCCATAGATGATATATCCGTGTTAAACTGTTGACGAAGAAGAAAAACGCGGAGATGAGGAAAATTATAAAAATACCATTTGAAACTAGTTATATGAAGAGGCAGAGTTTAAATCTGCTTGGATAGGTAAAGTGAGAGATAATAAATAAAACTAGATCAGCTATTGCATGTAAACTATAAGGGAAGAGACCAAGAGGGGAACCGAAGAACAGTGGGTAGATGGGATACGGCAAGACCTAGAGAGATTGGAAGCTATAGATAGGAAGAAAATGATCCAGAATCGTGGAAGTTGCAGAGATTTAACAGTGATGGCTAAAACTCTCGCAGAGTTATGAAGATATATGATGATGATGATAGCCGCCATAGTGCTAAGACTTGTCCACCAATATACTAGCCAATTCCCATTCAAAGGGAAGGAGTATGATAATTTTTATGGAGAGATGTGACGTTTCGGACAAAGAAAGTCAGACAAAACTATAGGTTTTGCGTTTAACGATTTCAATTTTGAAAACGCATTATGTCGTATTTTGTATTTAACTCCAAAATTACCTGAGATACAGATATCTGAAGTTGATTAGAAAACATAATTTTTATCCGGTGATTTGAACGGTTTTAAATGCATGAATTTTAAAGTGAAGAAATTCGACTACTTCAATTTTGGTACTGTTTTACGAGGAAAAAATGATTCGTATAAATTATAATCATATCACACATATGTATAACACATATACATAATAACGAACGTTTTAAAACGTATTGATCACTGTTGCTCTAGAAAAAAAAAAAAATAAAAATAGGATTATAGGGCTATTCGAATCTAGTGGCATTTGTGTTGCACATGCGTTCACCGAAACTAAAATTTATCCCAGAGTGTGTATTTTAGTATATCCTCCATCACACCTCAAAAACAGAAATGTTAATCGACTAAATATTTAACATTACCCGGAAACGTGTTCACACTGTATATAGTTTATAAATATGAAATTTACTGGTAAAATAGTCAATAACGCGTTTTGTTTAACATCAGCCCATCAACCCGCGGAATATTTTATAATAATTAATTACCCGACGATTATTATTATTTTATTAGTTTCGTATATTAATTATATTAACGTCGTTTGAATAAAATCCATTATACACAATTAAACCTGACGTCTTTTGACACGACCTCTTGAGTCAAGTGTTAATACGATAATATTTCATCGGTCGGTATTTGAATAGGTACCTATATTCAATACCCTCAAAAACCCTCTTTTAAAAGTAATATTGTGTATTGAGAAAAATCTTTTATTTTTATTTTATTAAGCATTATTGTTACTTTAAATGGTTGAATTAAAAGTGAAGAACACTTAATAATATTATTATTTACATTTGCGTAGAAAAACGTAAAAAAAAAAAAAAAATACTCGATATTTCCTAGATAATGGCAAAGAATTGAGAAGCGAACACGAAAATTCTTTAATTCTTTTTTTTTGTTTAATATGAGCGAAGCGAAAAATGTATTGGATTTATTTATTATTGGATGTGTTTTGTTTTCTTTTGTGACTGTAAAAAAACTTTTCTACCGGAATTTCGTTCAAATCAATAACTTTATAACAACTTTTTTTTTAGATTTTTGATCTAGTTGGTACATTGAAAAGATTTTTTTTTTTGATTTTTCAATGGGTTCCCTCAATTATTGGACAAAAGTAGGAAAAGCGTGAAAGTTTACGGCATTCAAGGTTTCAATATATTTTCGATTTTGTTTTTTCTTGTAATTCTTACTTTCAAATTCTACAGCATATTTACTATTTATATTATTAATAAATTCTGTCGATTTTATTTATAAGCGGATGATATTTTCCAATTTTTATTTTATTTGGATACAATTATTTGATCAAACAGAAATACTTAACACGAGGCCTATTGTAAGTTGTATTTAGTGGTCAAATAACCATTTTTAGTTAAAATCTAAAAAATCTTAAAAATTATGGAACTTCATAATATGTTTGACCGAATCTCGCTCAGAATCTTATTTCGTTAGCAATTAGTTATTATAGCGTACATTTATAAATTAAATAGTTCTATCCTTCTATATTTCCAACTTCTCACTTAAATCATTGGCTCACCCACCAGCCGTATCAGAATTTTTTTCATCTTTATGGTTTATAATTATTTAAAATACTTCAAATTTGTACCGATAGTTTATTAGTGTATACAATTTCATTGTATACATTGTAAATTTGATTACCATTTTATTAAAAACGAAAAAATGTCGAAAAAAAAATCGCAAGAGAATAATATTTTTACAAAAGCAATATAACTTTTTATTAATGCGGTATGTGTGTGAAAATCTATAAGAACAACTATATTTTGACGTCTGTTTAATGAACACGTAAAAGATTTTTTTTTTTATTTTTAACTTGTAAGTAATTTTTTTGTTTTACACAGTAAAATTACTATTTCCGTGTTTTCTAATGCATCTCAAAAATATTTTTTTTTTTATACTACCGTCAAAAATTGGAATGCTTTACCATATAAAACATGTAATTTCACAACTTTAACTATACATGGAATATTTACTATGGAACTATTTTAATAGAATTTTTAGTTTTGGGTCAAAATACTTGAAATTTTAATACAAGGGCATTAGGTGAATAGTATTAAATTCGTTATTAGGTACCTTTATACAAACGTATTTATGTTTAATACGCGTTTTGAACATCACATATTTATTCATAATATTTTTCCCTACCACCAGACGATTCGCAAAACATCTTGGTATGCAATATCATAATCTTTGATCCCTGCAGGGAAGAAGGGCTAACGTCAATTTTTAGCTTTTATTTTTATATTTTTTTGTCTAATGCGATTTTCTTTCCTTTATTTTTAGTCTACTGTGCATAAGTGTGTGTACAGTACATTAATGTCTTAGTTTATGTATAGTTTTATATTTTTTCTGAATTTAATTAGCTTTTATTGCGAATACTATAAAAAAAATGACTAAAGCCCTTGTTATCTGGGATCAAAGAATTATACGAAAACCAAGCATCAAACAGGCTTTTTAAACACAATATTATTTCATAAAGTAAATCCGAATTATCAAATCAGATTTAAAATCAAGACGGTAGAACATTACTTACTCTTTTTGAATCGGGACTGTCACAGTGTGTATGTCAAACAATAGAATCTATGAGTCCATCATTATTATTACAAATATCAATTAACTGCATTAACTAAAATCGAATATAATTTATACACTACAATATGTTTTTTTTTTTTTTTTTTTAACGCAGAATAAAATTCCCCAATATTCAGGCATGGATCCAGAAATCACAAATGGGGGTGGGGAGGGGGATACTATACCATGATAAATTATCAAAAGTTCTTACATAATTTTTAAACAATGACATATGTATAATTTTATAAAAATTATAATAACACAAATTAATATAAAATATTTAATTTATTAAACAATGTATATTATGATAAATTAAAACTCCAACTATATAATAATTACAGCCAGGGGGGCTAAAGCCTCTTAGCCTTCCTCCACTGGATCCAAGCCTGTCTACTCTAGCACTATTTTTCAATTCGTACATTATTTTATCCGATATATTTGTGTAAAATTTCTCATATATTTTTATAACATACGTATATTATATATTCCCACGAAGATCATTATTATAACTCGTAAAGTATCAATTTTTTTTTTTTCGGAAACTTTTTTTTATAATTTTAAGAAACGAGTTAATACTTTTCAAGATATCGCGACGATCGTATCTTCGCGGGACACTCTGTATGTATTATATAATCAAGCCCGAGTCCTTTAATCATATAATATTACTGTACAATACCTATACTCTCGTCGTAACGCGTTTCCCTATTTCGTTTGTCTTCGCGATTTGTTGTGTACGCGCGAGCGCGAAATCCTATTCAAAACTCCACTATTATTCTGCAACACGGACCCTGTGCGAGTATACTTAAACTTATCCCTACCCCGTCTGTGTACACGTCCATGTTTCCTTCTCTCCGCGTCCTTTCTTTGTTTTATCTGATTATTATTATTATTCTTTGTTCCTTCGGTTTAATATTATTACGCGCATATCTCGTCTGTATATACCTATACTTTGCTATTATGACGCTCGCGATATTTTATCGTATAACTCATTTTTATACTGCTATTATCACGGGCATAATATGTTTTCTCTCTTTTTCCTCCCCTTTCTCTCACACGATTTTAATAAAGAAATTAAAGTCTTACATAATAATAAACCACGGTATTTATAAAAAAAAAAAAAAAAAAAAAAATAAATAATATTGTTATTTACATTATAATATCAACAAATAAAAAATGACGATATTTTGATAAAAGTATTTATATCTAATGTCTAATGTACGAATGAAGTAATAACTGCAGGACTTTCCCTCGATTGAAGAATTTCAGAAAAAAATAAAAACTACACAACAGTACACGCTCATCCTTTTCCTCCCATTAGTGGTGATAAAAATTGAAAATGAAAACTTTTATTATATGAGAATTTCATCACGGCGACGCAAACAATCTCAAACTGACAAAAAATCACTATATAAAAAGCCGAAGTTATTTGGAATATTATATTATATATTCACAATCAAGCAGTTTTTACATTTATTTACTTCCAAAGCAACAAGTAGGCAACTGGAACTCAATTCACGTATGATAGTTTTTTTTTCTCCGTAATAGTATTATAATAATATAGTAATGTCGGCTCCGAAATTGTATTATTTTTTTTTTTTTTTGTTATCTGTCTCTTTTTATCAATCCTCATGTTGGTTTTTCAACTTCATTACACTGGTTTTTGTCGTCCGTTCTCCTTTTCATTAAATTGATAAAAACCATAGACTTATGAACGTATATTATATTATATTATCAGGTCCATGGATAAAACCTTCACGATCTGTTTTATAATATATTCCAGACAAGCCCAGTTGCTGATTTAACTGAAATGGCGGTTAAGTGCTCAATTCAAAACAGTGCCCTAGTCTATATATTTATATCACGAACGAACGTCGACAAATATTTCACGCCGAGGGAGTGAAATCCCTCCCCCCGCATTCACCATTAATCTGTATAATTCAAAAATACTCAGTAAAAAACGTCCCACTAAGTATATTCTGTATACATTACTGTTATTTATGTATATATCAGATACTTATATTTTTTTTGTATTAGGTTATTATTATAAGTAAGTACTTATACTTCACAGATATAATAATATTAATTCTTCAATAAAACAAATTGGATGCATGGAGAATAATACCTTGGGCCCTTTTTATTTTGAGAGTCAAGTGCATCGAGTGTATTCCGAAATAACGCATTTTCAATGTCCCGAGTGCGTCCGGAATAAAGTATCACATGAGTGCGTCCCAAAAGATTTTTAACGTAACCCGAATGCGTCATAGTTCATTTAGAGTTACCTAGGGGTACACCATGAGGAGATGAAGTTAAACCATAAAAGTATTTTATTTATTTTTTTACCTCGGCTTAGATATCCATTATGGTTGGTTGAGTGTTAAAAAACGTTTTATTTTTATTTATTTTAATATACAAAACAAATGTTAAAAACGTTGTCTACACTGTTACTACATTAAATGCTGGTGTTTAAATACCATTAGGCCATTATGTTAAACTACATACTTAGTCTTTACAGTATCTACTTTTATAATTATTCAATTTTTTTTCACATAAACACATTCAAATTTTTAACTTTGTAACATTTGTAAATTATGGTACTACTTAGCTCAGTTACTACACGCCGTAGTCTCACTAAATTGTACTATCAACGTTGAAATAAAATGCTGTCTTCTCAACGATCGGTTTATCAATTATTAGATTAATCAGATTTAAATAGGTATAAATAGGTACCTACAGCCAGTGGCGCAACTAGGATCTTAGGGCCCCGATGATAAGGTAAGTCTGGGGTCCTATAACTATATTTAAGTATTCGCAATGAATTAATTATTTTTTAATACTGATCACTACTGATAAAACGCGCTACTCAATTTGTATTTATTATCAGCAGAATAATAATATATACATGCTACTAAATTAAGTTATAAAAATAATGAACAAAAAAAAATTATACAAATTATAAAGAAACAATTAGAAAAAAAAAATGGTCAGTGAAAACATAACCAAATTAAAAAGTACCAATTTGACATAAACTATTATGTATAAAATGTAACACTAAAATACTAAAATTTTATATTTTTGTTCCGCTTTGCAAATCTAGTTAAATTTATCATTCAAATAAATACTTAAAACAAATATCACATCGAAATTTTAAATATAATTATTTAATTATGAAGTTAACTTTTATTGTTTTAGCTTCGGCAATCTGATAAATATTTTGGTTTAAATTTAAGTATGTATTCAAGTAAGTATTAAGCCTTTTGGAGCTCCGATGTTAGGCATCGCCATCCACTTTGGTTATTGCGCCATTGCTCATAGCTGCACCGATACGATTGCGGACGCATTCGGGCAGTTCAAAATATTTTGTCGTTGAGACCGCGGACGCAGTTGGAATATAAAAAAATGTGAAAATTAAAAACGAGAGGCACTCGGGATATCCCTAAGTCCACACACACCGTCTGCACTTGCGTTAATCTGGGTTTACTTAGACCTATATATACGTGGTTCTCATCCCTTTAACGACGACTCCTTTATGTTCGATTTCATTAATTTTCGAATAAATTGGTAACACAATATTATAACGACGTACAAATAGCAATTTAAATATAATACTCGAGTAAATAAATGTTGTTTCGCTATAATTATAAGATATAATATATAAATATATGTATAAAAATATTAGAGAGATAGAGCGAGAGAGAGATAGTAACAGCATGAAAAGAGAACGACTACGACCACCGCGACGTAAAAAGAGGGAAAATCGATTAAAAATATAAAATATTAACGACCGCGCCACGGTATATTTTAATTGTTTGAAGATTGACGACTTACATAAAGTCGACCCGCACAATAGTCCCGGCGTGCGGTTCAACACACCGTCTCTTATAAAAACGTACAATTATTTATCGTTGTCTTAACGGGAACTATTAACACTCTCTCCGTGCCGAGACAGGTGGAAAACTCGTTGAACACGATTTCATTACGCGCGATGCTGGTAAAATTTAATTGAAACAAACCGCACTCATCAATCTTACGTATATACCGTTCGTTAGAAAATATTTACTGTACCGACGTACAGAAGCACAAAATAATTAACCAAATTAAACCGCTTCTTTTGCACGTGTATATTATGACGGTATCGAAAATTGATATTGAAACCACTGTATAATATCATTATATTCCAGGTCACCGAAGATCTAAAAATTCTAAGGATGTACATGAAATTATTATTTACGACCAATATTGTTTTGTGTATGGTTTTAAGACGTGGCCGCGAAGAACTGATATTAGTAGTTTTTCAAAAGAAAAATCCTGAGAAATATACAAGGTCTTACCGTTGATGAAACAAATTAACGGAGGGGATCACACTATAATGACGAATTTCAAATCGAATTTTAAAGATCCGATATAGTTATGGAGCAGAGATCGCTAAATAAAATACTGATATGTCTGACGTGAACAGGAATCGTATATTGTTACCGAGTGACTAAGAAAAACTATATATTATAGGGAAAAGACCTTTAGAGAAACCTGCAAGATTAAGATGGTAAGATTATGTTAAGAATAAGGACATTAAGGTAATGGGACCGGAAATCCAGTGGAACGAGAAACTCTTGAGACTAGAGATAGGTGGCACTGTGACGGGTTTTGTAAGAAGTGGTATATGGTCTTAAGTACCAAAGCCATGCAAAAAACAAGACTGCATTAAGAGGGGGCTTGGGTCGCAAAGTGAAGGAAGTCACAATTTTTCGTCTTTTTTTCTTTTAAAAATATTTGTTAGATTATAAGTAAATTTTTTTTTTTTGAAAACACTTGATGGGTTAGGAAACAAGCTTAAATTTATGTCAAACCTAAAGCATACAAATGTTTTGCCCGACGGCGCTTTATTTTAAACATTTATAGACTTTTTCAGAAATTCAATCCTAGGTTATATTAGGTTACCAGAGTACCTATCGTGTCAGTATTGTATGATATTACTATATTGATAAAATATAACTACCTTTTTTAATAAATTAATAAAATGGAATTTAAAAAAAAAATCGAGTAAAAAGAGTCACGCTAAATGTATTTACAGCCCTTAACCCTTCCCTCAGACTATGACCGAGATCTGGCCACCAGCGGATGAAAAAGAGGAGAAAAATATATTATAATAATATGCAAGGTCGTCTTGCAATTTTTCAACGTTACTGAATCTCGCGTTAAGATACGGCGGAGCGAAATCGATTCAAATATCAACATCGATACCCGATATCATAAATTATTATATACGCTGACTTATCGAATATAATATCATTATTTTTCTAATCGTCTTTGTCCCTGACCCGGTGAACTGAATTTTTCTCGACTTTATAATTTTATGCTCGAGTTCATAACAAACGACATACACGATATTGTAAATTATTACACATTATAATATCGTTATATTTATTATTATAATATTATATTATTTTGTTTCCCCGCGGGGAAAACGACGTAAAGAATTCATATAGTAATAATAATAATTTGAACGCACCGGAAAATCGGTTTCAAACATTTAAAACTGAAATCGTCCGTTTTTTCTTTCTTTTTCGTTTTTTGAATATTTGTAGTTATTATATTATTATCAAATTTACGTCTCCAATCTAATAAACGGATAATGTAAAGTGTTCGGAAAAACTTTTCACACGTTAAAAATGCAATAAATGGTTATAAAGGATTCAATTTTAAGCTTTGTCATTTGAAATGAAAAAAACGACCGTTTATCTCTATTCTGTATACCGCTTAACATCGATAAAATGTCGTCGGTATTAAAAATCTAAACTAAACGACACAAATACCTATATCGGGTTTTCGCCATCCATGGGCTATAGTAATATAGTATAACAATTTTGGCGCCCGATGTTAGTTATTGATTTTTTTAAATTTAGGGTGACCGTATTATAAGTACGGTTAAAAACGGGCTTTCCCGTACTCTTTTGAGCGTCATGTTCCCTCGTGCCTGCCGCATTTTCCCGTACCATATTCATTGTTTCGCAAACGGTCGTTTTTGATTGGTCAAATCTTCAGTTGTTCGTTATCGTAAGGTTATCATTATTACACGTTCTTATTAGTTTTATCATTATAACTACGAGCGAAAACATACTGTTCATGTATGGTACCTAGGCCTTAATTGTTAAATATCCTAAAAAGACGGACATAATTTGTCTGCACGTGGATGCAGCCACTGTTGTAGGTGAGAAGTTGAGAAGGTAGGATACAGAAGGAAATTTAATGTGTACCTGTAAAAAACGAAAAAACCATTGCTTACGAAAAAAAAAAACGTTTTTGAGCAGAGTTCAGTTGATAGTGATGCTTCGTAAACAATATATATATATATACCATATTATAGTAAAATAATTAAATAGGCTCTATATATGTTCTTTAATAATATTTGTTTAATGTTATACCGATTTTCTCGTGAGTTTTCTCATCAAATGAGAAAACTCACGAGAAAATCGAAAAATGACTTCTTTGAGGTACTTCTACACACTTATTTTCTTTCGGAAGAGTTGCTACATGTAAAAATTGGAGCAAGTCCTCTAGTAGAAATTTGTCCGCAGACAATAAAAATAAACATCTTTGTAAAACCATAAGCTTCTTCGCTCCGCTCAGGATCTTAAACATTTATTAGAATAAAACAAAAAAGAGAACTCAAATATGCAGTATGTTTAACATATTTTTATTATAGCGTATAATCGAATTTCTAGTGTTTACTGTCCAACTGCATAACTACAGCCTGGGCCGGAAAATCATTTTTTTTTTACATTTACATATTTTATTGTTACACAGTCAAGTATATTAATTATTGAACACGAAATAAATAAAATACTCTTTGCCTGGTGAATATTAATAATAATGATAAAAATATCGTGTTCTTATACCACTTTTATCGGTCTATAATCGTTAAATATTTTATACATTACTAGTTTTAATGTAACAAAAATAGATCTTACATATTTTTTTTTTTTCATAACCACACCATTTATTACGACACATTAGTGGTATTCAAATAATTACAGTAAACGTGTCCATAAGTAAAATATTGATATCGGTAATGATGAATGGAAAAACGTGCGCATAATATCGCGCGTTATCCTAATAAATAATGAGCGGAATTTCGCAAAGGTACCGAGAGTAAACAGTTTACTAAAAGACGTATTCGTGGTAATTTCAGGTTAAGAATTATTGTTTAATGTTTTGTGAAATTTCATCTGGTGAGAGTAAATGCTTGATTTTAAACGTATACTTCTTTTATTACCTCCGATATAACAATAATAGTACTTAGTGAAACTACTTTTGTTATTTTCGCCATATTTATATGGACTTAAAGTTCGTCTTGAAGAACTAATGAAACACGTTTCAAGTCCATTTTAAAACTTCGGAGATCAATAGAATTTTAAATATAAAATTAAATTTTTCAAAAAAAATCTGAAAATAATTTCAAATTAAATACTCTTATCAGTTGATATATTATCAAAAATTGTTGCCCAAATTATTTTTGACGACAGAAATCACCAAATCATGAACGGTAGGTATGTTTATATCGGTAAACAATTTTTTTCAATTCAACGGTTTACTCTTGGTAACACGAAAATCTGTTCGTATCATAGTATCCTAATTGATATGGTCTGTATTATTTACACTAGTGCTCGGGAATCGAACCAATCAGAAACCCACTGTCTGTGAAACGATGTAATGGTACGGGAAACAAGTTCCGGCTTACTTCGAACGAGACGCTATACGCGTGAATAGTGTGACGTCGTCTCAGAGTAAAAACATGTCATATTATGTGATAAGAATCCTTATCAAGTATGATTGGATCTAAAAATTTAAAAATTTACCTATAGATGTTGTGTAGGTAATTCTACACTTTAAGTACTAAGATATTAATTAGATCACTGAAAATCTCATTTGAATAAATCTTATTTATTGATTGTCAAGTTTTAGTTTGTAAGTACTCGTATTTTAATAGAACATGAGCATTTAAAATAATGCGCGTACCTTATTTAATGGGTTTATTTAATTGTTTGGATCCAAATGTTCAAATTATTACTGATAAGAAAAAAATTACGTAGACATTATTCATGCGTATTGCAGTTAATTAAGTCGACTGAAAAAACAAATCACGTCGTTATTATACAAAAAGTTCGCTGTATCGTAAATAGAATAATTAATAACACAAAACCAATTAATCTGTGTGATACAACTATGTACACATAGGTATATATAAAAAAAAAAATATTGTAATCTATTGGCATTTTTGCACTTCACATAGGTTAGGTATACTTAACCGTGAAATGTTAAGTAAAATATAATTTCGAAACATAATATGCAATACGGTAATAATTTGTATAAACCGCAGATATAGATAATAAACTAAATTATACCGTACTATTTAACTATGACATTTTTTCGATATCCAAACGATTTCGCGTTTTCGTGTTGAGATTTGTTTACTATATTATTTATTTGTATTTAAAGTATTAGGTATAGGCAAGGGAGGAGTAGGAAATTGCGACTTTTTTAGCAAATCGTCACGGCGACGATAAAAAAAAAAAAACGCTTCGAGAGCACACGTCCAACACTCGGGAAAATATTTAACACTATACTTAAATACTTTATAGATATAATTATGATCTGCAAAAACTTACTTTACGTGCCTCAAATGTATTTCTTGGCGCAGTATGTTATCCGGAAGTGTAATTCGCGAATGTCGAGACGGTGCACGGCAAAAAACCCGTTCAAAAACGAAACAAATTATTTAACGAATATTATTATTGTTTTTTTTTTTTTTTTATAACGCTAACATTCGGTTTTTACATGTCAAAGATACGCGGTAAACGTAATATTCTGATAAAATGTTCGTTTATTGTTCGACTGTACGTAAATAAGTTACTCACTGCTCATATTATTTAGTACCTACCTATATTACACGAGTTATAACGATGAATGATAAAGAAAAACCGAAAACGGTTATGAGAAAAACGGAATCGTCGTTTACGCCATGGATAGGCGCTGAAAAAACATCTGTGCGCGTAATTGGCCGCCGACCGTCATCGATGGAACCGCTCGCATTCCGGACATAGTAATTATTTTTTTAAATTTTATATCCATAGATTCTTACACTCTGTGTGCAGGTGTCACGTCCTACTGTAATCAATGAATCCCGCGACGAATGTTCATATCAAATACTGTTATCAAGCTACGCGTTTAACATTATCTTATTATAAATAATTGTTACCTACTTATTCGTTAAAAAAAAAATAATAAATATATTTTCGTATCGGCGCACCTACCATACATTTATGATTGTATTACAGTATACTTAATGCAATTAATTTAAATAAAACTACGTGACTGGACATGCATTTTTTTATTTCAATTATTTTCGAGTTGTAATGTTTAATAGTAATACCTAGGGAGTCCTACAGAAATCTGATGAATGCAATAACTTTTGTGATATACGATATTTTTAAGTTCTTTTTTCTTGTAATAATTACTACGACTTAGCGCTACGATACCTTTATTTTTTAAATTTTGAATAGATCAAAGAAGCTTACGGTTTTACAAAGATAACAATTTTTTTTTCTGCGGACACTTTTTAAAAGAAATCTGACCGGGAAAGTACTTTAGAGAGAGGTCATTTTTCGATTTTCCCAAAAGATTTCTCAACAAATGTGAAAAACTGAAAAAAAAATAGCTGATACTGGGAATGGGAGAGGCCACTGATGAAGGTAAGAAGTTGGCAAGGTAATATGCACACGGTTATTTTATTTATATTTGTAAAAAGGATTCCAAACTTTGTTCGGTAATACATAATTTGAAGTGCTGTATTTATTTTTTTTTTTTTTGCGATTTTGGTTAATAAAATTGGATTTCAAAACGCTTATTAAAAAAAAAAAGTCGTCCGAAGATTTTGGAAATTTTATCATGTCTAGGTAAGTACAATATAAGTATTATTAACAAGTTTCAAATCTTTACTTGTATTTATAACCGAATTATAGCAAAGAAACTTACAAAAATTAAAATTCCTTAAAAGCTCAAATTGGCTCAAAAGTTTTGGCAATGATATCCTAAGAAAGAAAATAAAAAAGGTGTCTAGTGATTTTTCGATTAAATCGTTTTTCTGGTAGAAAATGTCATCCGTGTTTTTATTAAATAATGAAATCTTGAAATTTTACGTTTTCCAACTTTTTTTCCCACTTAAGTGCTTTTATTTGAAAAATGGCGTCAAAATTCAAAAAATTACCTTCTAGACAATCTAGACTATCTAAAGTACTATCTAAACAATTGACTTTTCAAAAAAGATGCTACACAAAAAAATCGAAGCAAGTTTACTAGGAAAAACAGCGTTGTAAAAGTAATAGCTCCCTCACTATGCTCAGAATCTTAAACGGAGGAAAAACGGGGAAATGTAAGAAATGTAGGTATTAGTAAAAATATTATGGCCTCTTTTTTTTCCTGTTAACAACTTTTCTACCAAGAATTTTGCTCTAATTTATAATGATGGCACTTTTTCTAAAATGAAATCTCACTGGGAAAGTATTTTATGAAGGTCATATTTGATATTCTTAAGAATTTTCTCAGCAAACGTAAAAAACCGGGAATAAAGTAGAAAAAAAGGGAAAATCAGTACAATATTAAACAAACATTATTATAGAAAATATATAATGCCAAGTAAATTATTTTATCATATGACATGTATATTGTTGATAAAGCATTATTATCAACTGAAATTCACTCAGAATCGTTTTTGTAAGCGATGGTTAATATTTGCTTATAGATACAATTTAATTGTTCTTCTATATTCTACTTTCCTTACTTCTCACAAACAACAGTAGCTGCATCCGTCTCCATTATCATTGGAAAGCTTTTTTTTAAAATAAAAATTAAAAACTGTTCTTGCTAAATCCAAGATAGTCATTTATATTGTTGAAACATAATTTTGGTGTGACAAATATTGACTAATGATAAATCGTGAAGTTTCCAAATTTCTTGAAATCTTTAAGTTGAACCTAAAATGTTAAGTCTTTTTTTATAAGCGTTTCAAGTAAAAATTTTGACGGAAATCATAAAAATCATGGCATTTTTAAATATGTCTAATCGAACTTTTCGCTCAGAACCGTATTTCGTCAGCCATGATTTATCGGTACGTAATGTCTACATACATAAATAAAATAAAATTGTATGTATCCATCTTTTATACCGTTATGTGACCTACCATCCCAAATCCCCACTTACAGCAGTGGCACAACCACCAGCAGATATCTTTTAGACTGTATGTTTTATATATGGGTATGAATAAATAAAACTGATTTTTATCATTTTACTATGATGTGCATTTTTCTGGTGCGAGTCCCCGAATATATTTTCTTCCCACATTTTTCCCCGGACAATTTTACCTTAGGTATTTCGGAAGTTTTCATTCGCTGAATAGAATTTAAAATGGTGTATTATAGAGCACAAAATATGCAGTGAAAAATGTACAGTGTGCAACTCAAAATTCCAGTGTAATGTAAAAATAAAATCGTGTTCTTATGAAAGGTCCAATGCCCTGAAGGAACAGTGCCCCGTGCATATTACAAAAAATATAAATAACTCTCTTGTTTTGAAAACACCCAAAGTAGTCACTCCAAGCCTTAAAAATGCAATATAACATTTTCGAAAACGCTGTATGGATATACATTGCGGGGAAACGAAATAAAAACCGATCGGACGGATATAACGCGGATATTTCCAAGTCCAAATTTATTACCAAAAGCAATCGGAGTGGAATTATTAAATCGCTTCGACCGAACGGTATACGCGTACTGCGCATTATTTGCAAAGCCTACGGTGAATATATTATTATAAACATATAATATATACAGCGCATACCAGGAGCCCGAAACGAGCTTAAATTAATTTGGTATCACCCGAGAGAATATATTATATGTATGGCGATGTGTATTATTGTCAATAATATATATGAGATTGCTTGTTATAGTTTGTTTCGTCTGTACTGCACGTACCGAAAACCTAACGAACGGTTACAAAAGAGGAAGATTCGATTTAACAGTGGAAAAAATAAATAAATTTCAAAATTCTCCTTCGAGTGTTTATATATATATATATATATATACGCGTATAATATTGGGAGAAGAATTTCCGAAACACGGCGAACACAACGTTAATTTAACGTTGAACAGTTGTGATCTACCTCTTCAATTCGTGTCGGTCTACAAGGCTTTATAATACTGTATAAAATATTATATTCCCTTCCCTTGCCAATGACAAGTTGTGATTCGTATTTTTGTTTTCTCTGAAACGTAAGTTCTGTTGTCATGCAACTGTGACGGATTCGTGGACGGGGCCAGAGGTGAATTAATCTGCCCTCCTCCCCTTAGATCGTGGCTTTTTACAGTTTATTTTTACCTATAAGTAAAACAATAATAAATGATATTTGTTGATAAAAACGTGAATATATGTTCATTTGAGGTTTGCAATAGCACTGATAACGTTCAATAACAATTTATTAATTTGAACGCGATACGGATTAAATATACAATAGGTATACGATATTTTATTTTTATTCTCTATTGTGAATAATGGCTTTTTGACAATTTTTTAATTTTTTTTATTGAAGCATCGACATCAATTTTAACCACCACTGTCATACAATCTATTCGTATCCATATTTGTTCGCAGTATGGAGTTTTACGGGATCCTAATCACATTCAAATTGTCCAACATTATCGGTTTTTCCCGCGTTTTTTCCATCTCGAGTCATAATCAATTATATTGTTCGTTGTCGCATGGTATAGAAAATAATATTATGGATTTCTTTCAGATCCTTTCATATCAATAATAATCATAAGTTTTTTAATTTTCTCTTCCATAGGTCTATTCTTATCGTTTTAGGCGCTTGTGATTAGCTGACAGTGTCTACAGCAAGTTTTTCCTCGATGAAGTTAACTACCCGTGAGACCAAGTACACGACCCATAAAAGGGTAGTGTCCTATATTTGGCTGTTGGCTCACGTTTTGTTTTCTTTTTCCTATTGCTGCCACTTCTCGTTTTAATAAATTTAGTTCCATTTTCCCAACACTTCCAACTTTAAAAATTTGAGTTGACACCAAAGTATCAACCAGACCGTTATTTTTTAAGTGATTTTTTACACCTTTTTTGACGAGTTTAAACGTTTTTTGTGAATTTTAAGTGCATTTAAATCCGTGCCCTATTGTACTGATTTTTCCGGTTTTCCTAAATTTTTCCCGGTTTTCCCATGTTTTTCCTAGTTTTTCAAATTTACTGAGAAAACTCCGGAGAAAACCAAAAAACAATCTCTCCAAAGTACTTCTCCGGTAAAATTTCCTATTAGAAAAATTAATATCATTAAAAATTGGAGTAAAATTGTTTGTAGATTAGTTGTCTACAAAAAAAAATTCGTAATATTATACAAATAGATTTCGTACATTTTCCAGTTTTCCACAGTTTATTTCGGTTTTTTTTTATTTCGGAAAAATGAAAATAATTATTGTTTTTAAATTTGAATAGACAAGACCGATTATACAATTAATCAACAAGAGGAGAATATAAAAAAAAAATGGTAAAATAATACTTTTTCGAATTCAAAATATCAAAATATAACAAAGGCTTATGATAAGTATAAAATCCATACAAATGTATTTCAATATTTGCAAGTATAAGGTAGTATTTCCTGTAGTACTAATATACTCAAGTTAAATATTTTAACATCATTTACTAAATTCATTACTCTACAATTCCGAAGCAGTTCATTTGATTCCTGAACATAGGTTTTTTCACAAGATCGGGTTGTTAGCCCGACGCTCAACCCCCAACCTGGAGTACCAAATCACACCGACCATTTCTGCTCCAATACTGGATATTAACTTGGGATAAACATATTAATTTGGTATGTTAATTTTTCGATACCCACGTAAAAGAGGCAATGTTACTGAGTTACTAAAACTTTTTTTGAGTTGTACAAAAAATTCTCTTCGGTCAAACTCAATTAGGTCGCTAAAGTTGACTCCCAAATATTTGATAAGTACTTTCTTCCTCACGCAGTGACGGTATTAGCGCTTATTATAAATACAAGTGGCCTTTGCAAATGAACATTTTTGAGGA